TAAATTGGAATTAGAGATGCCAAAGCATGTGGCCAGATGACACCTCTATCATGAGTCAGGGTTGCTATTTCAATCCTCCAACGTTTTGAAGAACAGCCACAAAAATATCTAAGCAACAAACTTTTCAAAGCTACAGTTAGGTCTGGACAAAGGCACAATTTGTGTCATTTTGCCTCTGTGGACCCCCTACACTGGATTTTAAATAAAACAAGTTGTAAGCAATGTGCAGTTTTTCCGCCTTTGATTCAAGGGGTTTAACAAAGAAGTGCATTAACTGAATTACAGCCATTTTTATACACAGAACTTAACTATATGCGCCTGTTACGATCTGACAAAGATTTTTTTGTAAATAAATGTATTTACCTCATGAAAATATGGAAAATCTAAGTCTTGTTCATATGTATGGTTTGTAGTAAATGAATAATGTATCTTACATTAAATTCTCCCTGCCTTTGTTGAAATGTCACATACTGACACATTACAACAGAATATCACCTCAGAGACTGAAAACTGGGTCTTCTTTAATGATTCAATTTATAGTAAAACATTCTGACACCAACTGCTTTGCACTCCAGAGACGCGTCAGCAGAAAAGTAGACACCCTTTTTCTCCTGATGCCACACCGCACTGGGGGACGACTAGAGCACACAGGAAAACAGCCTGTGTCAGGCAACTCCGTAGCCTCAAATACTTTCCTGAAATGGACCCATTGTGAAGTCAATGGTTTTTTGATTCTTTCCTTTTATGTCAAGTTAAAGTGTGTTTTGTCTGTCTGATCCTTCGCCTCTCTTCCTTGCTATCTCTTCTTCTCCGTGTCAAAGTCACTGAGGTGTAAAGTCACATCAGTGTGAGCATTCCTGCCAGACGGGAGCGACCAACGACTGCCTATATAGGTCAGAGTAAACAGAGCCAGCAATAAATGTGTTCCTGAATGTACGTGTGTGTGTGTGTGTGTGTGTGTGTGTGTGTGTGTGTGTGTGTGTGGGCAAGCTGCAGGATAGCAGTAAAAGTAAGGCCTCCTGTCACCTGTGTACTGATAACCAGGGACCCACTTCCACAAAGAAATAAACTTCCTGGCTGGTGGGTTGTATTTGAGCTCCTGTGTGGGAGAAAGTGTGAAAACACTTCTCATCTCACAGTTGTCTCAAGCATATACAAAACTGCACTAACACAGCAACAAAGTTATACAATCACAATATGTAATGTTGTATGGATAGCTGACATACCACTATGAGGGACTCCCCTTTGGGAATCCTCTGTCAAGAATATAAAATGTGTCACACAAGAGAGGCTTCCACATCATTAATAAACATATAATGAACTTTATAAATCCCATATTATGCTTTTTCTATTTTTTTGTCAAGGCTGCACCAAAATAAATTCTTCAGTCACACCCTCTCAGAAAACACTGACGCTGAAACAGAGCCCTGACTTTTGTTCCATTACTCACCTACATCACTATTTAACATATGGGTATAATGGGCAACCAGTGGCCAAGCTGGCATTACATCGAATAGAACAAGGAGTTTCCACACCTAAATCCAGATGCACCAGGCTGCATTGCAGTCCATTCCTTCTTCAGTTAGAGCTGCTTCCATTAATGCCATCCCTGTCAGCTCAATCATTTTCTGTAAAATGGTAATAAAATGTGATAAAACTTGATGAACGCTCTAATTGTCTCGGTGTCCTTCATCTGAAATGACCAACAGGTGTTTTCTCAACCAGTGTCATGTCCACATTTGACATCCTCTCTTTCTCTTCTCTATTTTGTGTGCATTGGTTTTTTCCTTTTTCAGAATAAAAGACTTCACTGAATGTGACTTCGTTCCAAACAGATCAGTCGCACCCCACCCACTGAAAAGCCTGACATCACAAATCACTACAAAACTCATTAGACAAATCTTTGAACAGCTTTTGGGGGACAACACATGAACAGAATGCCCCGTGGGAGTTACTTCAGGTCCGGCAAAAGCAGATTCTGTAGGAATGCAGGAGCACAGAAAAGGCCAGTGCATTTATTTGTAGTGGATTCTTCTATCAGAAACACTTTAAGGAACACCTCGTCTCACTTTACCTTGTAAATGTCACCACTGTGAATCTAAGTCTCTTTAAGGTCACTCTCCAGCTAGCTACAGTGCTTTGGAGTGGGTGGATACACAGTGCAAATGTTTAACTGTTAAGACTATTAAGACTCAAATGGTTGGGTTTCTTAAGCTTAATAAAAACAATATATGCATACAGATGCATAAATATGTGTTGATGCCCTATTTAACCTGTGAACACATCATGTGTGACTGTCATCAACGTGACTGTGTGATAGTCATGTGAGTGTAATACAAAAAAAAAAATGTGTTTGCCATAAAATATGTGTACTGCATGCGGTGCTATGGAAACAGTAGCTACTCCGGCCCCATACTGCGTCATCCCTGGCTGGTGCATTAGTGTCAGTCTGACTCGAGCGATCACAGCGTGTTCAGCCTGGCATCGTGGGTGGAATTAACCTCTCAGTCTATCAGAGAGGCTTTTTAGAGAGAATCGATAATCCAGCCCATCATTAAATAGAAGCCAGCAAACTGATAATGGTCAGAGAATTGGAAAAACTTAGTGCGTATGAACTTCTACAATTTGCACTGGTTGCATTAAATGAATCAGAGGAATTATTCTTTTTATGCCAAAAAAGGGCTTACTTACATTTGCTTTGAATGCAATGTGTTAAAAAATACAGTAACAGCAATTATTACCAAAAAATGTAAATACATATTTAAGAATGATTAAATTCAGCATTAATTAATAAATGACTAATGCACCCGTTTGCTGTCATTTTTTATCTTTGTTAATAATAAGACTTTTTCAATTTTGCAGCATATATTATATACACTGGATATATGCTGCATTTTTTCTGTTTGTTTCACCTGTTTTAAGAATAACATTGTATTTAAATGAGTAACACATCTTTTATGTGATAATAGTAGAACATAATAATCCTAAATTGGATTAAACACACAAATAACAGTAAAATCAGCTAGTTATGAGCAGGACGTTTCTTCATGCTACAAGGGAAAGATGTAGGGAAGACATAAATGCTGCTCCTACCTATCTGGGGGGCACAAATACTTTCCAACCAGAAAACAAAAGATGTAGCTAATCAGCTACAACCATCCCCAGAGCTGTATCTTCTTGTATACACAACTTCATGGCAGTTTCACACAGAACTAACCTCTCCAGCACATTTCACTCAAAACATCATCTATTTTACAGCCTTAATCATTAAAGGATATTTCAGATTTAGCAATGGATGAGCCTCAACCTGTTATGCATGTCTTGTTCTAACCCTACCCATAAAAGAGGGAGAACCACATTAACAATTTCTTCTAATTTCATTTATGAATCAAAATTTGAGTCATCCCAAAGTGAGCAAAAGAAAAATAGGTGTTAGCCTATTCACCACACCTGGCTTAACTCTTTCCCCCATAAACATTTGTCGACCTCCCCTGTACCCTTGAAGATGATCTAAAATAAGTAAACATGTGGTTTAACCATCATTAGAATGCTTTCCAAGGATAACTGCACAGGCAGAGACCACCCTCACTAACTTCTGATGCACACCCAGTCATTTTGTTCTATAAGTGGGCCTGAAATATAACAGAAACTGCTAAGTTCATAAAAGAATTTCAAAGATTACTAGCAGGCTTTCAAGGGGTAAAGACTGAATGTAGCTTGAACTTCAATGCAATCAAACCAAAGTAAATGAAATCCAAAAACTTCCCCAGTGGCGTGACTGAGCCATCTTGTACAGAAACCAGCCTGTATAAGTTTCCATGAAGGAGAAGTCATTTCCTTTTTAAGTTTGGTTGGAGCCAATAATTAAGACCTGAATAGAAGCAGCAAGTAGGCCCAACAACCAATCCTAAGATAGGATCCAGTCTAACTGCTAAACAGCTGATGAGCTGCAAAGTCAAAGAGCTGTCAGAAACAACAGAAAAGGAAACACTTAAAATAACAATCTAACAACATTAGCAGTGTGTGTGAGTGTGCTGCTGGGTAACTGGATGCATATATAGGCTCATAGAGTCTACTGGTATGTTTTAGTGAGAGTTTCACTTGTTAACCATAGAACCTGCTGCCACATAGTGTCTTTTTCCTTTTTGTGTATTTAGACAATGCCATTTCTTCCCATTTCTGTGTTCTTGAGGTACCAGTGTGTAAGTTTTCATTCCTGTGTCTGACAATTTTTTAAGGTAACAAGGTATTCAAGACACGGGCTTCTAGTTTTTCATGGAAACACTCACACCTTACAGGCTTTGCTTACTGTTTATTTCATAGCATATTTTATCCCAAACAGTTTGTTTATTTCAGCTTCCAGTTTTATTCAGTTTGAGACAAATATAAGCAGGTTTATATCTAGACTAAGGAGTACACAAAAGAGCAGTGCACACACACATATATATGTGTTTTATCAGTAATCAGAAGTTATCTGTAGGAGATTTAACATATCGCCCGATCCTGCTGGTACTCCTGCCTAGTCTATCCTAGAAGAAGACATTAAATGTGGAATTTGTAAATATAAATGTAACCAATGTGCCTTACAAATCAAAGAGAATTAAAATATTGAGGTATCCTGGTATGACGACCACAACTGTGATGACAAATGGTAAGGTCAAGCTGTCACGTTAAATAAATGTGGTTTTCAATTAAAAGAAATCCAAGAAATGCTTGCTCACAAGAAAACCCCCTGCCTGTAAGTTTCGGGTTCAGTTTGGACTCGCCAGCGGACATGCCGGGTGTCGGTCTGACTGGGACACTTATGTCATCAGAGAGAGCTCGTGTATATGCGTTTGTGTGCGTGTGTGTGCGGGCCTATCTTGTCCTGAGGCAGTGACCTTAATCTGGAGCACAAGGGTGACACAGGCTCAGACCAGACAGTGACAGAAATGAATTCATGCAACAGATAAAGCACACGCGCACACAAGTACACGCTTTACATCTGCGGCTGTACTCACTTCTGGAGCTATGTAGTCCGGAGTGCCACAGAAGGTCCTCGTGCTGACTCCTTCTGTCATGTTCTCTTTACACATGCCAAAGTCAGCAATCTTAATGTGTCCCTCAGAGTCCAGCATCACGTTGTCCAACTTCAGATCCCTGAGGGAGCAGGCGGGAATTCAAAACATACCTTCAGATGCTGACTCTTCCATTAGTGGTTGTCTTTTATGATAGGGTTATAAAAGACATTTACTACATCACAAAGGATTTTTCTGTTACTAGCTTAAAAGCAACCTAGGTATGTATACCGTGTAAACCTTTTAATACTCACCTGTAGATGATTCCTTTACAGTGCAGGAAGAAGAGACCAACAGCGATCTCTGCTGCATAGAACCTGCAATGACAACATTTACATATTTACAACTGCTTAAAACCGAGCCTTCAACCTCAGAACAAACAGTTCCAATACAGCATGTCTGTATTGTTGTTGCAGCTTATGCTTTACTGTTATTAGACACTAATGTGATCATAATACAAAAGGAGATAAAACCCAAAGGCTTAATGTGAATTCTCAAATATAATTTTGACTGTAACCACAGATTCGTTTTACAGCCGAATCATAGAAACACACAGATGAACTGATATGTCTTACACTGCCTGAGGTTCCTTGAACTTGCCCACTTGCTGGATATGGTACATAAGGTCTCCACCATTCACATACTCCATGACAAAGTACAGGCGGTCCTGTTGTCATGCAGAGAGGAAAAAGGTGAAAGAAGAGTTATGAGTGTGTGAAAAATCAAGAAAAAATAATAATAGGTTCTACGTAAAAAACTGCAGAATTTCAAAATATGTTTAGATTTCTATTTGTGCTAAAACCTCAAATCAGAGAAATACAGTCTTGACGTCTTGCCTACCCCCGCTGTCTAAGTTGTTCCATCTTTCCTGCTACTCTTTCCATGACAAGGTGACCCAAATAGCCCACAACAAAGCGCTTCATGGAAAATGAAAACACTCAACACAGACATCTGTCAGGAAATATTCTCTTTGTGTTCTACTGCTGGTCCCTTACTGCCCGTGACAAGTTTGGCCTGACCCCAGTCCACATGTGTTTGATGGTCTCTTACGAACAAAACAATAACAACAGACCCATGGTGACAGCGCAGCTGAACCTTCCACCAGGTCTGACACCAAATGTCACCACTCTTGGCAAAGCGGGCTTTACCCTGGACTGTGTGTGCTGTGACCCTCACTGTACTGCAATGACAGCGCCTTCAGCAAAATGCACATTATAGCTTCTCGACCTCTCTGCGCCTCTAATATAAAAAGCCTCCTTGTTTTCACTCAGTAAAGGGTTTGACTTCAGTGGATCCGATGTTGAGAGTGTGCTGTCTTAGCAGAACATAAGCAAAACACTGTGTGGAACTCGTGCATTTAAGCTAATTATCTTTTAAAAAGACAGCTGCTGTGCAGATGAAACTGGGCAAAAATTAAGTAAATCTGTTTTTATAATTTATTTTATCTCTGGTTATTTAATGTGTAAAATAAATAACGTAATAGCAATAACAATTAGAATAAGAAGTAGTCCTTTTTTGTGATGCAGGTATGATTTTCTTTAACAGAAATATCTTGAGGATCACAGAAAACTCAATCGGGCCATTTCACGATTGGTGTCACTATTTTTATTTTTATTAACCTGAATGTATTTTAGGGAAACAGTCAAATCAAATGAAACATTATCTAGGTGTAAAGATTTTCTGTTTAAAAAACAACTCAAACACTGATCAGTTTCAATAAAATGGACATATTTAAAACCTTTGGAGGATTTCACAAATTGAAAACATTCACATAAAGAAAATGTTGGAGTACGGGCATCGCAGGAAAAGGTCTGCACAGCAAATGTGAAACTAGGCAAAGAGGTCACAAAAGTGTAGGAGTAAGTGTGTTTTTGTTATTCTCTGTACGAGAATGGTTGTGCGAGTGTGTGTGTAATCATGAATATGCTATGAGTGATGCCAAGCTGTGTCTCTTCCTATTTCCTCTGCCTTGCCTGCCAGTTCAGCTCTAATCAGCTGCTATAGTTTAGCCTGGCCTCTCTCAGAAGTCTGGATGCTGATAGACGTTCATTTGCAATTTACAGATTTAACAAAGAGACATTCAGATTAAGGAAGCCATCGACTTCTTTTGCATATGGACTATAATAGATTTGCAGAGTTTATGCAAGTTCACAACACTACTTACTGAAAACATTTTACAATTTCTTTAGATCATTACATTTACTGAGTATAAAAAAAAGATATTAAGGGTATCAAAGATAACTTTGGTACCCTTTGTAACAAAGCCTTTTGCTTATTTAAACAGAGAGAGAGAGCTCACCCTTTAATTGGGGTTACTTTGTTCCCCTTTCACTGTTTTTTTAATTGGACTTGTCATAAACGTCCTTTGCTGCCTTCTCCAGCACTTTATGACTAAGCTGTTTAGCTAAAAGCCACTTGCTGAATTAATTTGACCTGACTTGACCTCGAGTGAGTTATCCTGGTACATCCAGAAGCCTTTTACCTACCACTGTCTGGAAGCACGAGTGGAGGTATGTGAGGAAGGGCGGTTTGTCCTGCTGGGCCAGGACTCTCTTCTCCACCATGGTACATTCAACATCATCATCCTGGATTACCACATCCTTCTTCAGAATCTTTATAGCATACAGCTCCTCAGTGGTCTTCATCTCTGCTAGCATCACCTTTGCAGAGACAGAAGGTGGCCAGGTAAAAATCATTTCCATGTAGAGTACAATGCACTTTGTTCTTCCAACTTTGGATATCGCGCACCTTGCCAAAGCTTCCCTTCCCCAACACAGCTAGGAAATTGAAGTCGATGAGTTTGACCTGGTCCAGGCTGTTTGATGGGAGCTGGCTGGAGTGGCTGTCATCAGTCTCAGTGATCACCTTCTTAGCAGGGCCAAGTTTGGCTTTCTACACTCGGAGTAGAAAAAAATAAAGTGTCTGAGGGTTAAATGGTTAAAAGAAAAGCATATAACCTAAAGCGGCTGCAATACCTAAAATGCTAACCTTGATAAAATGCATAAAACTTGTTTTTAAGCAAATAAAAAAATGGCAGAACATATTCAAGCTTCTTTATCGTGGATTTTTCTCACAGAGAAGACAACACATTCACACGTTTTTGCCAATTTTTTAAATTTATGTCTACAACCACTAAAACCATTTTCATACAGATGAATATTCAATATGTGTCAATTCACTTACTAAAATAACACAAAATATCCTTAATTGATTTTTCTGTTTACCTGCTGTATAACTTATACTTGCCATTAGCTCACTATCTGCCAGAATACACTGACTGACAGGCACAATTCAAGATTAATGAGATCAAACAAGACTGATGTGCCTTTTTGGAGCTCATATAATACAAAATGACTCGATAAACCCGATTGAGATTTGCAGTTGTCTTCTTGTCCAATTACTGTCCAATAAATTACTCTAGCTATATTAACAAATTGCTATCATTTAAACAAAGTAAAACACAGTGCTAGTGGTTGTTGTCAGCATAAAGCGAGAAAGCTGAAATGTTGGATTTGAAAAAAAAGAAAAGAAAAAAAAAGACCAAAAAAATCATGCAAGCATTGTTTGTCACATCTGCTTTTGCTGTGAGAATCAGTTAATCATAAACATCTTTGATTAAATTCAATAGCAAAGCTAATGCATGACACTGCTGTTATCAACAATGATCATTTTCTATCGTTTCATTTACAGTAGTGTGCAAAAGTCTCAAGGTATCCCTCATGTTCTTTTTCCTTTTGCTTCAGAGGAGCCTTAATTTTCTTGTGATTTTTTAAAGTGGTCTTGGGCAATAGTTCTTCAGGCTTTCTGAGGGTCTTTCAAAGTTTTTAAAATTCTTTGGAAGAGACGTCATTCTTAAGGTTGGGAAATAGGAAGATGGTTGGAGGACGGTCTTGTTCAAACTGATGGAATTACGAATGCAGAAAGTACTGTTAGAGTTTGACTCACCATCTGGCAACGGCTTCATTTTTAAAAAAAGCAATGATCCTAAACACACTGCCAAAGCAGTAAAAGACAAACCTGGATAGAAATGCATACAATAATGGTATACTATTAGTTATGGATTAGTCTCCCCAGAGCCCAGACCTCAGCACTACTGCAGCAGTGTGGAATCATCTTGACAGATAGTCAGACAGCAAAACAAAAGAACATCCAACATCCAAAGAAGGGCTTTGAATGTCCTTCGAGAAGTCTGGAGAACTATTCCTGAAGACGACTTATAGAAATTACATAAACAAAAGTTTGCAGAAGAGTGTTCAGGCTGTGTTGAAGCAAAAACTGACTGTGTTGCTTTTTATATTCATGTATTATCCATGTTTCAATAAATCCCTGCATCTATTTCCCATTTTTCTTGCAAAATATATAGAAATGAAGATTGACTTGAGCTTTTCACACAGTACTGTAACATATTTTAACCAGACATAGCATCCACAAAGCTAGGCATAGAAATTTTATTTTAAGTATTAAATCATTAAGATCAGTGATCAAAGAAAAACCTAAAAAAACAGCATTTAAAATCTCTGCATTGAAATCAGACCTTAAAACGCTCGATTTCTACGTGGCTGCTGTTGCACCGAAGGAAAGGATGCCACCACGTGGCTTCAACATTCACATGCATGTCCAGTGTAAAATATATCTCTAATTTTGACCTGTAAAAATACAAAAACATTCTTGTCTTTGCACCTCTTCATGCCAAGTCATGCTCAATCTTTCAGCAGTGCAAATGCTTCAAGACACTACAGTGCACTATGCTGAAAAATACACTACTGTGGCAGTCTGAACACTAAAAACAATCTGACGAAGCGTCCCGCTTCATATCTTTCTCTAAGCAGAAAACACACCTCACACCGGCTTCATATTCACTCTTAGCCAAGGCAAAAATCATGCTCTCCCCAACATCCTAGTGATTACCTAAATCTTCATGCTGCACAAAGAAGTTTGTTTTCTTCTGCTACAGGAGATAAATCTTCTTTTATATTTCCCAGTGAAGCATAAGAATATACTATATACATGAAACAGGAAGACCAACTTGTGTGGGGCTGAAAGGTTTCCAGGCCATTACAATATCGTTCCTCTTAAAAAACAGGAAAACAGGAAGAACCCCGTTATCCCACACCATAGATACCTATATAATAAATTCACCCATTTATCTCTATAACATTCAAGTAAAATTCACTGAATATTAAAATACTTTCTAGCAGTGCTGAGCAGCTGCAGTTTGGTTAATGAAAGCTACCGTTGCCTGCTCTTAAACTAGGAGAGCAGTAAGAAAGCTGAGCAGACCGCACCAGATCACAGCACACCTGTAAGCTTTAGCCACAGAAACAAGCCTGGCCGGGCCAAGCAAGCAGCAGCCTTACTTCCTTCCTTTTAGACGCACCTGATCAGAGTCTTCCACAACTGCTTGGTCCTGAAACCACAGGGAAAAGGGAGCCAAAAGGTCTAACTCACTTAGTACACTTGTGTACAGGCGCACACCACAACAGCTGACTTGTATGGACAGGTAGTTGAGGGCCAATAGTGAGGCTCGTACACGCAGACAAACACAGAGAATATGAATGAAGATACAGCATTCATAATATGACACTAAATCGTGTGGTCGAGCCTTTCGATCAGCAAACTTAGTCCACGGAGCTCCAGTTAGAGTTTACAGACATGTACAAGTTCAAAATTGCAGCTTCACAGAAAGAAACCAGCGAGAAAAGTCCAAAAAATTACCTGATCTCTATTATATTTCTGACAAAGCAGTCACCCCAGAGGTGACTTCATGAATAATGTTTTAAAAACAGCTTTTGATTTAACCATGGAGACTAAAAAAACGTTAAGGTGAGAGGGATAAGTGCTTATACACACACACAGACACACATACAAGAGCAGGAACAATTACCCGCCATGTACTCAGGTCAATGCTGACATCTAGTGTTTGCATCTGGTTTATTTCTCTATTCATACAGTATATCAAATATGCAATATTTCCATCCATGTAGTTATGCCTTAGACTGAAGTTTATCTAGGTTTACACTGAGATGTTTGCAGGTTCAAGAAGCAGACACTTACAGACAAATGTTCAGCTGTGAGATGAGAAAACTAACTAACTACGGGTTATACTTCAGTTGACATCGACATAAGCACACAACATGAAGCGTACACAGACAAGACGGGTGCACAACACAAAGACGCACATGCAGACAAATGTATAGCTATGAACTGTAAGCAGTAAATCAGGATTTACTAACAATCCTTTGTCAAACTCTGAGAAAATGCGAGCCGTGAAAACGAGGAAGAGCTGTACTTTCACAAAAATGGGGAGTATTTCATTCATTTAATAAATTATCATTTTTTGATTTGAATGTTTTATTTTACCCAAGCCAAAATGTACAAATTGTTAGTAAACTGGATCAATTTGTAGTAGCGCGGCACCACATACAAATGATCAGAGACGAGGAGAAGTGGAGGAACATGTCACCACAGCAAGACGAGACAAAAGAGGAGAAGGAGAGGAGAGAAGGGTCGAGAAGCGGAGAGGGCTACCTTTAGATTAAAATTAATTTGGCAGTCCTGAGAGCAGGGGCAAGACGTGGAGAAAGGAAGAGAGAAACTCTTGCATTAAATATGACACCGTGACATAGGGTGAAGAAGCATTTGTACAGTGTAAGTCTCACCAAGCACACAGGAGGGAGCAGGAAGCTAAGGGAAAAAAGGGAGAGAACCACAGAGGGGTTTATGAAGAGGGGAGAGAAGGGAGAGGAGTTCTCAGGCCATAAAAAAACTCTAAAAAAACATTCATTAAAGTCAAGTGGATGAAACATTACATCTACAGATGCCAGACAATTACTTCGGAGCTCCATGAGAGAGATATGATGACTGCACTGGGCTTCTCTTAAAGGCAATTTAAACGATGTGAAAAACTAGAACAAAGTTGAAAATACCTGTTCTGTTTATGCACTGCACATTTGCACAGTACACTACTGTAGTTTCTGTGTCTGAGAGAAAAATCAACACATTTTTGTGTCACGCACTGTGAGGAACATGCTCGCTGCTGCTCTTTGTTCCTGTTATTGAGACAAACGCAACACAACTGCACTGTCACCCTCTCTGGCTTCAGGCCAAATGTGTTTTCTTCACCTCTTTTCTCTCTTTTTTTATCATCATCACTTTTTTCTCATTGCCTGGATGTATTTCAGAATCTATTTCTGTTACTGTGTCATTACACAGGGCAGCTTCTCCTTTAATGTAATGAAAGCTGAACAGGAAATGATTTTTATGGCAAAGCTTACTTTAATATGGAAAACGTGTTTCTAAGTGTTTCCATATACTTAAAAATATGCACCCATATATAAAACTCCAGACAATGATCGAGCTTCATATTGAATACAGATTAACGAGCATGAGGTTTGTTTGCTTTTTTCGGTCAGCTAAAAATTGGCTGTCAGTCCCAGACGTGACCTTTCCCAGCCCAACTTTCTATTCTTTCTCATTCTATCCACCCCCTTTATTCTCAACCATGTGTCGCAGAAAGGTCGTTGAAAGTAACCTTAAACACATCTTCTAGAGACCTGGGCTTTCATTGCACACTGTGACACAGAATACCAGGTGAAATAATTCACTCCAAGAAGGCCAGACACACACAGGTTCGAACAAAAAGAACATGAAATTGTATCAAATAACATCTTTTTTTTTAACACAATGTGTGCTTAAACATTACTGCAAAGTAGGAGGAGCTGATTATTCTCCTCATCCTTTTAACGTGTTACGAAGAACAGTCACAAGTCTCCCTGATGAATGTGCAATATAAACACCTGTTTGTAAGCAGCAGTCCCCTGCTTATTTATTCACTCTATATTACTAAAGCTGATCCCCCTTTCTGTTTGGTTCTGGCTGGAATGTAATAACAACAATTATCCACAAACACGCAAAAAATGTAAAGTAGAAGTGAAGCCTCAGAATTCAAAGAGGGCACGCCGAGGAGCTCTGTGAAAGCTGCAGCTGTCACACGGTTATCTGCAGTCCAGGAGAGCATGTGACAGTTCGATAATTCTGCTGGACAGGGTGGCAGGATCAGATCGATCCACCTCAGTCTGAAGCGTGTAATAAATGCTTCTGTCTTTGTGCCATGCAGTTTGAAGATACTGCAAAAGAAAAGATCGCCCAGCTTTGATTATGTTAATACAATCCTCACCTCAAATTTCTGCCTCAGTTCCTCATTACCATCATCCTCCTCTGAGATGGGAACATTGTAGTACTCCCCCTCCTCCTGGCACAATAACTTATACCTGAGAGGAGAGACATGAAATGACAGGAAGTGAGGGGAAGAGACAAAGACAAAGAAGATGGTCGTAAAGAGAAACACGGACAGAAATGTTGTGAGATTAAAAAAACTGGCAATTTCTTTTATCTGCCTTCCCCTCCTTCTGTTACCTTTCTACTCTTTCAGTGACTTGATCTACTTGGCGTGGATATAGCTGGCAATAAGCCAACAGTCTTAACAATTATCAATTAAAGGTAATAAAGAAATGTCAAGCTTATCCAAGCATTTTGTTTACATCAGAGGATGTTGTGTTTGTTAAAACCTGGATGAAAGCTGTGATATAAGGCATTTACTTGGTACCAACTGATGAGAGCTTAAACTACTGATATTTACTACTTAAGATGTGTAAATACAAACAGTAATATAAAAGTTATTAATATGTCAATATCTTTTGTTACATCAATCAATACTCTGTCATTCTAAACTATAAATACAGATCAACAGTAACTGGGCATTCAACAAGTCAGCATTACCATCCACAGACTGGAGCCTTCATGAGCTCTGACACGCCAAAGGAAAGGGCTCCCATGAAGTCATTCCTCGTGGTCCGATCCCAGTCCCACACTTCTACTGATAGTCTGCGGTCTTTATCTGCATTCCTCAGCTTGCTGTACAGCAAATTATGGTTAATAAAAAATAACACATTTGCTTACAGAGTCGTTTTTAATACTAGTGCTTTAAACATTAAATACATTTTGCTTTTTTTCCCCCTTATCCTCTGTAAATTTATAATCTGTGCCATACTACAGCCTAGAGTGGGCCAGAGGCTGAAGATGGACCAGTGTACTCACAAAGTGAACGTCTCGTTCCATTTGGGGTTGAGGCTGGAGCGGATCGTTTTGGTCTTCTGCTTGGTCTCATTTTTGGGATCTGGTACGATCTTGAGCTTCACATATGGATCAGACAGGCCATTGGGGTCCATGGGAATGAGGTTTCTGGCTTCAGTCACTGAAAACGATGAAGGATACAAACAAAAGATTGACATATCTGTCCATCCATCCGTCTTATGTGTCAGTGTGTGAATGTGTGTGTGAGTGGGTGGATGACTGAATGTGTAAAGCACTTTGGGGTCCTTAGGGACTAGTAAAGCGCTATACAAATACAGGCCATTTACCATTTATTCCACTTATTCAGGGTTGCAGGGGGACAGGAGCCTATCCCAGCTTTCACAGGGCATTAGGTGGAATACAGCCCTCTAGTGTGGGGTTAACACAAAGACACAGACAGCCAGTCACACCTACAGCCAGTTTAGAATCACCGATTAACCTAACCCCATGCAAGCACAGGAAGGTCCCAGCTAGTTGATGGATTTGAACCCAGGACCTTTATCATGTGAGGCTAACAGTGCTAACCACTGCACAGTACTGGCGTATCACGTTTTTTAAAGACCAAGTAAAATATATAAATAAAACCTATATAAGTTTAGCATAAGTGCAACCTAGTATCCATCCAATATTCATTAATATTTCCTTTCATATGTAGCTTGATAACAACAGTACAAACTGCCCTGAGCATAAGGAACAGTTGCTCTCATTTAATCAACAGGTGAACACCTGCGTGTCAAGATCAACCAGCGAGGCGCAGCCTGTGAGGATTATTTATGGATCCGAGCCATAATGGGAGCAAATGCAGGAAGTGTTATGAGAACGGTGATTCTAATTTGCGAACTGTGTCATGCTTAAGTGGGCGAAGGTTCTCTTCTCTCCCTTCTGTATTTAGCTGTTCGGTAAACAAGGGCACACCAGAGACATTAGTACTCCATTAGCTTTGAGCATTGGAGCACTGCCAGATCTGGGCTGCAGTACAGTGCACATACAGACTCACATGCTCACATAAATATACACCTCCCCGCACACAATCAGATGTACACAGAGTATGTTTATCGACACACAATGTATCTAGCGTCCCCGCAGAGATAGGGATGGATGCCTGCCTGCTTTGTTAAACCTCATACCCTGGAGATCGGAGCTGTCTCCCCATGTGGCCCTGTCAGTCACACTGCAACCGTGGGCTGACAAAGCTAAATGATCTTTGACCTGGAAAAGAAGGCGCTAAGCCAGTGTGTTAAGAATGCAAAACAGAACTGCTAAACCCGGTGTTTTAACTCTGAATGTTATACAGATTGGCAGGATTAGGAGGGATAAATGAATAAAATCAATAAGGGATTGACACTGTTGGGTTAGTATAGCAGCTGTTGCAAACGTCGAGATGCTCCAAGAAGAGGGTAAAAACACAGCACAATTTTCCACTGGACTTTTACAGAATAAACCACATTGTGCATAATCACAACAGACTCAAAAGGATCTTTGAAAAGAGTATATAACACTTCAATGATGGTGTATTGTATTCTCAGCACCTGTGGTGGAGCATTTGGGCGCCGAATGATGATAATGGGGTGTGAAGTTTGATGAGTGATGAGCAAGCTGCTGTAGAACATGCAGGGAGATAGAGCACACTTCACAAGAGCGTCAGACATTTCCAGGAGAAACTTGAGGTGTGGGAAGATATTGAGCGATCCTAAACTGGCAACCTTCAGCTTCCTCAGAAATCCAGTCAAGATGTGTTGAATAAGTATCTTCAAAGAACATCTTTGCTATTGAGTGCATCTAATATAGATGCAGTAGAATTGCAGTCTGTAGGTAAACCTCTATTTCAATTTCTTTTCATTTCTTGAACAGAAGAAAATGCAATGGAAATGAATACATCTCTTCTTCTTCCTGACATAATAGCTGGTGGGCACTGTAGCCCTAAAAGAGCAGCAGCTCTAACTGCTATAAAAATGGTTGTAGTCTCAGACCTGAATTCACATGGGCTATTTTTACAATGACAAAAACAGAATAGAAGAAAAGTGCAAGTGTAACTCTATAAGACCGATTTAAGTGCTGTGCGAACCTACAATTGTAGTCCAGTGAATGGTTATGCACTGATTGAACTTGTTGAATTTAATATCTGCTGCAAGCTGAACTTCTACACCAGACTTTTTTTTCAATCCTTAGACGGTAAAGGTCATGTTTTGAATATTTCATATTCTGGCCTTATGTATGCCAAGACCTGGGACCAAAAGACATTCTGTACAGCATATAAAAGGGACACTTCTTGGTGTCTTATGCTTGTGAGCATTACTAGTTTTGTAATTTGAAATATAAATTATTGTGTTAGCTACTCTTCTGATCAGGCATAGATGTTTTTATGCTAACCACAAATTTCAACCAAGAAATTTAACTAACAAAGTGTGTGTGTGTGGGGGGGGTTATTTAATATTTGTATATGTGAGAAACTGTGTGTCTGAATTTTAGCTCTGCTTTGTCCACAACATTATAGGTTTACACACTACTTATATATACGAACAAATACCTGAATTGTCCCCGACAGCCATTGCAAAACTGTACTTCCAGTCCTGACCAGTAGGGGGCATTCTAGACTGTCTAATTGAGCTTTGCAAGCACAGAGCTCTCTCACACACACAACTGTGTCCCACAAAACAAACCAGATATGTGAGTAGTCTTAATTTCTGAGTGAGTTTTTTGCTGAGTTGTAGAAAGCTGTTAGTTAAAGGGGAACTACATTTGAAATACCAAATATCAAATATATAAACACCTTTGTTTTTTTACACCCCTGGATGGGCCTCCATCTGTAAAATGTTGCATTTTATATAATCTTAGTATGATTTTGCATCTTCTAGTTGTCTCTTTTCTCATACGATGAGTCTGTTTTCTCTGCCTCAGCTGGATTTCATTATTGATTTTCTCAGTCGCACTGTTAGAAAACTTGCTGCACTCTAAATGCTAGACGACTACTTATGAAACAGACTCGACCTACTTGGGCCAAATAGCTGTGATAGTTTTTGTTGTTGTTGTTGTTGTGTAAGTCCAAGTGAGCTGAAAACTGCATCCGCGTGCAAATATGCATGTTTCCTTTCAAAAACCACTTCTGTCCATTTCTGTTCTACAGACCGTAACAAAACCAAGAGCGTAAAAAACAGATAAGAAAAACCAAACAAGCAACAACTGATGTGATGAAAAGCAGAGCCATATGTTCAAATGGTGTGGAGGGAGTGTGCACATGCTGAGAGGAGGGAGTTGAGGCAGGACACTGACAAACACACTGGGAATACCAATGACATGACTCCTGGGAGTCTAGCAGCACAAATCCCGGAGCAACAAAGTTCAGCTGTTTTCCGAGGTCCGGAGAGACACTGAAGGAAGGAGAAAGTCTGTGTGTGCATTTATGCATTAATAGGACAGAAGCAAGCTGCACAAGATGATTTAAAGCAACGGTTTCCCTGCAATCAGGAAAACCTCCTCCAGAACTCTAACCAAATTTCCATTCATGACTGTTTGTCAGCAACTGTTTGTTTCAGAAAAACGAAGCTTTAGGTTAAGGAGCCAGAACAACTAAACTTAGAATGCAAACAATAAAAAAAAGGACTATTTTTTTTTAGTTGTATACATTCATCATTACGTTATCCATGGCTTCAGTTCTGCCCATTTTTTTTTAAATATCCATATAAGGCACTATTAAGACTTTTGCCTACTCTGGATGCACTGGATGCAATTACTGTTAGTGTATGCTGTAATATTAGCGAAAAAGGAAACGTGAGATCAATAGAAACACAGACAAAAGTCGCCACTAAGTTTGGTTTCTTAGCCTGCTGACTTTGCATGCTTGTAAACAAAACTTTTGACTCTAATTAGTTTCTATCCCTATCGCAAGGATTCAAAGACAGACAGGAAACAGCAGGGAAGTGAAGAGAGACCGCTGCAAACTGTAAACAGCTGCTTCTACTTGCCTCTTCTTGCTGATTTTGAGTGATTACTGTAAATGCTCTGATTACAGTATTGAAATAAATAACGCATTGTTTGTGATGACAGTTTAGTCTAGTTTAGCTTAGCTTTAATCTGGCACAACGGTGTTGGCCCAAATTTGATTTTTGATCTGTTCGGTTGCTGTGTTTTTTTTTTTAATCCCCCAGAACCGCTGGAACAGCACTATTTCCACGATCTACAAAGCTATGATTGATAAATAAAGAGCGTATTATAAGAGAGTGTGCATGGATATGACAACAACCCAATATTATGCTGTGGTAAGCCACAGTCTTTCAAGTCTCTATTTACTTTGCGAAGCCATCTACAGAGACGCACAGAGCCTCGTCTTTGGCTGAAGCAGGATGACCCGACTTTAAAAATTAGGCCAGCCATGTTTGTTCTTCACCTCCTTGTGTAAACACTGTGTGCAAATCCTCCCTGAGCAAATGAGCCTTAAGTGTGTCTAACTCTGTACCTTGAAAGCCTGGTATTTACAAAGTGGCCTGAAAAAAATTTAATGTAATCTTGCACAAGCAGGCCACATAAATTTGAATGCCTGTGCTTGTTACTACTTTGATGAGTGAGGATATTATCTCAGCAAATGCAATGCATTTATTAAAACTTGAAAACATAATGGGCGCTAAAAGAGCTGTGAAGTTTGTTTCAAACGATAATATATTCATCGTACTGTTCAGATTGTGCATATCTTCATTACAAGGACATAGCTGTACAGCCAAAGAGCTCACTGCACAATCTTCAGGCAGGAGACACTGCTGGCCCAGTGGCCAACACCCTGCAGTGGAAAAACGCTGGCAACGCTAGCATCACAAGTGCTGTCAGCTGCTCCGTCTTAGCTCTGATTCACTGGGAAAGTTTAATAGCGGGATTTTAAAGTAAATTTTCTCTTGGCAAGAACTCGTTGGGTTTTCTGCAGAATGACTCAGACACTACAAAGAAATGGAAATTACTCAGAGAAAATGCTGCAGAGTGGATGCAGCTTGTCGTTGGGCAGTTCTGGCGTAACCTCCGCCAGAACTCAGACAGAGCTTTGATCCGACTCTAACTGTGCCTTCCAGCAAGGCCTCTTTGGATTCAGAGAGTAAAGACTTGTGTTTAATAATTTCAAATGAACAGGTGAGGATG